GCTACTAGTCTTGCTTTGTACCTTTCAACTGTTCCATCTGCCTTGTGCTTAACTATGAACACCCATTTGCACCCCACGGGTTCTTTCCCCTCTGGAGAATCCACCAACTCCCAAGTCTAATTTTTGTGGAAGGCATCAATCTCCTCCTTCATGGCATCTATCCATTCAAGGTATTTTAAGGCTTCTACAACATTCTTGGGAACAGGGATGCAGTCAACTGCCGATAAGAAGGCTCGATACGAGGGAGAGATGTGGTCATAGGAAACAAAGTGGGTAATGGGGTGTTTGGTAGTGCAAGACCTAACTCCCTTTCGTTGAGCAATAGGGATGTCTAAGTCGTCCACAGTGGGAGTAGGGTTAGGGACAATGGGAGTAGGGTTAGGGGTTGGACTTACCTCCTGGGATTCTGATGATGTCAGTTGCTTAGTGTTTGGCTGCTCCACATTTCTATCGCATTGTTGATCTCTCCGACGAGTACGTCAGAAGACACGGAAAGGAGTGAGGTCCGGAATAGAAGGAAGAGACACCTGAACCTGCTTCTAGTCTTCCACACTACGGCTCTCCCCCCGAGGAGGAGGGAAGAACGGCTCGAACTCAAAGAAGGACACATCCATAGACACAAAATATTTACGACTAACCGGGTCAAAACACCGATACCCCTTTTGAGAGGATGACTACCCCAGGAAGACACAAGGAATGGACCGAGGATCTAACTTACCTATGGATGGAGACAAATCATGGACAAAGGCCCGACAACCAAAGACTCTCATGGGGATGGAAAATAAAGGTGACTGAGGGTACAGTAACTGATGAGAGGCCATGTAATTCAATACTCTGGAAGGCATGCGGTTGATGACATACGCAGCTGTAAGTATAGCATCCACCCAAAACCTTTTTKGGACATTCATGTGTAACATCATCCCACGGGCTACCTCAAGGAGGTGTCTGTTTTTTCTTTCTGCAACCCCATTTTGCTGTGGTGTTCTGGCACATGAGCTTCTATGAATAGACCCATGGGAGGCGAAGAACTCATTTAGCTCCCCATGGAAGTATTCCTTCGCATTATCGGATTGGAAGATCTGTATTTCAACATGGAACTGTGTAAACACCATCCTCTGAAAGTCTTTCACTATCTTTGGAACCTCGTCCCTGCCACACATAGGGATTACCCATGTATAGCGAGAGTAATCATCAATCAATGTAATAAAATACTTATATCCACCCTCAGAGATTACATTTGTAGGCCCCCATACATTAGAATACACAACATGAAAATGAACATTTGATCTTTTTTTGCTTGAATGAAAGGTTGTTCTACATTGTTTACTCAACTGACACGTTTGACACAT